CGGACAGCAACGCTCTTGGCTGGCCGCGCCCGTGATCGCGATAGCAACAGAGGTCAGGCAATTGTGACAGTGCCAGGTCCACATATCCGCTGCCGTCCACCCAGTGTCTCCTCTATTCATCTCGCGCACCAGCCTGTGGATTGCCTGACCGTTGCGCCCTCGTGCCGTCGTCCGAGCCTTCACGGCTACTGCCTGAGGCTGGCCTAGTTCCCGCACACCTTGCACTTGTGTTTCATCCAGGCGATCCGCTTGGCGTTGCACCTCACTCTCGACTTCTGGCTGTTCAATCGGGCACAGCCTCCTATACCAAGTCACCACCGCTCCTCCGCCGTCCGGCTGTCCACCTCGCACGCACGTCGACTCTGCGCCTGCTGCCGCATTGAGCGTCCTGCGCTACTCTCACCCTAGAGTTGGAGCTCCTTCCTCCCCCGCCCGTCGCTCCTTCTCCCGCAACCACAAACCGAACCACCGACCCACGCTACCGAGCTCGCCCGCGCCCTGCTCTCCCCATCCATGTCCACTGCCGCTGCGACTCCGAATACCTCCTCCAATGCTCTAAACCCCGCCGCCAATTCCGCCCGGCCACTGAAGATGAGCACTGCCGCCAAAGGCATCGACGCACAGCAGCGAAAGCCCGGAAGCCCCATCGACGGCGGTCAGAAGTAAGCTCCTGCCCTGCACTCCCCATAAACACGTCTCCTACACTCCTGCCCCGCGTCCCTTGCATTGCAGACACATAGAGACATGCCTCGAGTGCTCCCGCCATGCGGGACATTCTCGTGTGACGTGCGGCTGGTCACATGGAGTCACGGTGCGACTGCCCTGTCCACTCGATGGCCCTCTCCCCGTCTACTGTGCTCAATTACTTCCTGTCCCAATGCACTGTCCTCGACAACACCCTACCCACTTGCACCTGGCGCCATGCTGACCGGGCGACTTGCAGGAAACCTCCCGCCAAAACGGCATGGACCCAGGGCACCAATCCCATCACACAGCGACCGACTCACTCCCCCACCCCCAACGGTGCCGTAAGCTCACCTAAGCCCCCACAAGGCTCGACGGCTGCCTCCGCCGACAACGCTTCCCCGATGAGGCACCTCAGCGACCGTATGATGTACCTGCTGGCCAATCTGACGGTGAGTGACAGCTGGCTTTCCATGCGACGCGGGTGAACAGTGCTGATGACACAAACAGGGTCTTCCAGGCATCATTACGCTGAAGAATGGCGAAAAGTATTCCGGTGTCCTCTCAGGCACCTCACTCGACCCCAGCGAGCTCCGCTATGTCTTCAAGATGGTCAAGAAGCTCCTGCCCACCAGCAACGCTCAGACCAACGGCACGAGCCAGTTGTCCGACGACTATGTTGGCTCAGGCGATTACCACGTCATGTCGTTTGACATGAGCGATGTGGCTGATTTCAATGTCAACAACGTCGTCCTTGACAAGTCCCAACTCAAGGGCCAGAATGGTGTGTACCAGATTATACTTCTGCTTTCCCATGCTAAGCTAACAAGAAAAAGGCACCGCAGGCTTCCGCACTGATACCGACATCTCTGGCAAGCTCGAACTCCGTGAGCGCAATCTTCAGAAGTGGGAACCGTCCGAGGTTGATCCCAACATGACGCTCGAGTCTAGCGGCCGTTCGAACGACTGGGACCAGTTCTCTGCCAACGAGCGCCTGTTCGGTGTGAAGAGCAACTACGACGAGAACATCTACACCACCACCATCAATAAGAACGACCCACAGTATGCGGAACGGCTCGCACGCGCTGAGAAGATCGCCCGAGAGATTGAAGGTAGCAGCGCAACCAACTCGCACGTCCGCGAAGAGCGCGGAGGATACACTGCGGCCGATGACAATGGCGATGAAGAGGACAAGTACAGTGGAGTACGACGAGACCTGACAAACCTGTCAAGCGGCCAGTCCAACCGGTACACCCCACCCGCACGACGTGCCCCCGCCCCCGAGGCGACGGTGCCCGGCGCACCGGTGGACCCTGCCATCATCTCGTCTTCCGTTGCACGGCCTGCCTCGCAGTCGACACAACGAGTTGCAAGTCCCGCCGCACCAGCATCAGCAGCAGCTGCGCCTGAACCTAGCAAAACGCAAGAGTCCAGCAAAGACGCACCCAAGCCTGCCACAAAACCAGTAGATGCGCACAAGGCTATTGCGGAACAGCTGCAGAAGCCAAGTAGTACGATCAAATCTGGGGTTGCTGCCATCCCTCCTAGGAAAGCTGGACGGCCACACGACGCAACTACCAACGTTGAGCACGACCTGCTTGACTCCTTCAAGCAGTTTTCGGCCGCTGAGAAATTACGGATTTCCGATCGCCAGAGGGCTTTCGCACGCGAGAACAAGGCCGTGAAGCTCAACGATCTTAAGAAGTTCGCGCTCAACTTCAAACTGAGCACGCCGGTACCGTCAGATCTTGTGCCCATACTCGCTAAGGACGAGACAAAGCAGCAGGCTATCGTCGACAAGGCCAACAAACAAGCGCAGGAAATGAAGACTACACCTCCTAAGGCGTCCAGCACCATGGCAGACCCCAAAGCTGCCGCACGATCTGCTGTCAAGCCAGAATCCACCCAAGCATCCCCTAGCACTAACGCAGAGCGCCAACAAAATCAGCGTGCTCGACCAGGGCAGCCAGCCTATGCGTCTGCTTCTTTGCGGGGTTCCCACCAGAACATGAACCAGATGCCTCCTCGCAACCAAGGACTACTTAGCACTCGTCTGCAGATAAACCACCAGCAACATAAGCAGCAAGGTGCCATGCCATACAACGGCGTTCCTCAACCGATACCAGCTCAGGACATGCGCGTACCACCTACTGGTCCTTCACAGCCCTCGAGTGGTGCTCAGACGCCTTCTTCCAGCGTGTCTACAAGGTTCAACGTTCGCGCCCATGAGTTCAAGCCCAACCCAGCTGCAAACACCTTCCAGCCCGGTGGAACCCCAAGCGCTACCTCCAGTCCTAGGCCAAACTCGTCTAGGCAAGAAGTCCGCAAGCCTCCTGTTACCAACTTCTTTACTGGCCCGAAGCCCACTGTTAAATCACTGGACGGACTGACGACCTTCAATGCCATCGGACGCCTTGAGAAAGAGGCGCAGTCGAACGAGAAGTCACATCACTCAGATATTGCACCTCCTTACAAGACCCCGCCTACGTGGGATTTCCCCTCTTCGAACACGAACAAGGGATATGAGCAGCTATTTGACCATGCTCCTCCGTCTGCGCCCTTGTCAGTACCACAGCATGTCATGCCCAACGGCCCTATGCCTCACCAGCATCAGTTACCACCTCATCTCCAGGGTGCCCAAGGCATGACACAAGGACCGACACCTCAACACACTCCCCGTGGGCCACCGATACAACCGCACCTCGGCCAAGATCAACATCATTTTGGTGCTCAACACATGCAATATTCGCACTCAACGTCATCAGTCCAACCTTCACCACGCCCAATGGCGCCGTACATGTATGGCGCACAACCTCAGCCAATGCAAGGCTATCCTCCGCAAGTCCCGCAATATGGCATGAGTCCCGGTATGCAGCATGCCACGATGCGCAACCCACAAGGCGGTCAATTCATGAACGGCCCTGGGCCGGCGATGGGGGGTCAAATGATGACGAACCAGCCTTCAAATGGACCCTTCATGGGAATGCCGGGTAATCCACAGATGCAGATGTACTCTCCCGCTCCCGCTCCTGCGTATCCTCAGTACCCGGCTCACATGCCTCCGGGCGCCAACGGATTCCCTAGCCCCAGGCCAGGTGCACCAATGATGAGCCATCAAGGATCGCAACAAGGCCACCACCAGCAGCAACCACCTATGATGTACATGCAGCCTGGTGCACCAGCTCCTCAGATGTACCAAATGCAGCCAGGAGCCAGTAAGTAGCACCTTTATGGTTATTCGTATTTTGACTAACATCACTCTAGTGGCTCCCATGCGAGGACCTTTCCAGCAACAATACCAAGGTGGTCACTACGGCTCACCACAACAACATCACCAGTTCCCACAGCAACACCGTGGTACACCCAGCGGAAGTTACTCGCAGCCTATGATGCCACAGCACTCATCGGGTCCCCAAGCTGCTCCACCCACTGGCCCCGCTAGCCATGCACCGGACGGCAACGCTGAGCCCAAATGAGTATCTTTAAACCAGGCTCACCGCAAACAAGCGGCGCCCGCAGCGTCTGCTGCCTGACCTTCATTACATGCTCTCCTTGCCTGTTTTACCAAATTTTGCTACGCGCTTAGCGTGGGTGGGTTGATTAGTCACCATGATAAGTGGCCGGAGGCATAGCGACAGGCGTTGACTGGGCATGATGGGTGCATAAAAGATCATGGTACGGACGACAACCTTGCAGGTCATGGGCATGCAATATGGGACAAGAGAGGGAGGGAATCGGGACGATCGCTACGCTACACGCGATCGCAACGCGCCAGGAAGGAGCAAGTCATGAGAATCGCTTTGGCGTTTCCGTCCTCGAGGCAGCGTTCAGGGGTGGGGTGGAAAATTACTAGCAAGCAGAGCAGGCTCATGTGAGCACATGCTGCTGGAATACTATCAATACTATAAGTTCACAAACCTCGTTTATGTGCCTGCAATGACCCGCCACAAAAGAATGGCCGAGTCCATGTCGCGACCTTATATCGTAGACAGAACACAGCATACAGGATTGTATACTTGATCCTTGAGCTTAAAACATAACTTGGAGGACAGACTTCTATGTAGGCGGCAAGCAACACAAATTCTGGCATCTCCTGGTGCCGCTGGTACCGCCTGCTCTGCAGGTGACATGGATCACCAGGCACAGATCTGGCCCACCCACTAGCGTGTCTCGAGCATTCCGCACTCCCGCGGCCATTCCGACACTACCCCAGATAACCTCCACCAGCGCCCCGTCCTGCTCTCTCTCCCGAACACGCTTCCTATGTATGTGTGTGCTGTATGCCGCGCTCAGATGAAGACGTAGAACTAGACAGCATGAATGACGCTGCAGCCGAGCCCTTGATCTCCAACGACCGCCGCGTTCCGAACGATGCACGCGACCGCTACGATGAAGCCGACGACGCGAGTATCAGAGAGGATGAGGTGGATGAGAGTGCCTTGGTATCCCCAGGCCTGTTCATATGGTGTCTGACTATATGCGCCGGGGTCTCAGGGCTACTATTTGGATATGAGTATGTCGCATCCATTCCTGCGATCTTTTGCGCCATGCCATGGCATCTACAGAAAATGGAAGTAACGCTATACTGACGCTGCACAGCACCGGTGTTATATCCTCTACCCTCATCTCCATAAACACCGATCTCTCCTCCCGTCCCCTGACCACCCTCGACAAGAGCTTGATTACGTCTTGCACTTCGTTCTTCGCACTCCTCGCCTCGCCCCTAACGGGTATCCTCGCCGATGCATACGGACGCAAAACCGTGATCCTCGTTGCAGACATTCTCTTCATACTCGGCGCCCTGTTGCAGGCATGGACAAGCAGTGTGGGCGGCATGATCGTGGGTCGGTCTATCGTCGGCGCAGCAGTTGGAAGCGCGTCGTTCGTTGTACCGCTGTATATCTCGGAGCTCAGCCCTAGCCCTTTCCGGGGACGACTGGTGGTAGTGAGCAGTTTGTTTATTACTGGGGGGCAGGTCGTTGCTTATATTGTCGGGTGGTTGTTCTCGGAAAGATTGCATGGGTGGAGATGGATGGTGGGTTTGGGGGCTTTACCGGCTGCCATACAGTTCGTTATGCTGTTCTTTTTGCCGGAGACACCGCGATATCTCGTCAAGGCTGGAAAGACGCAACAAGCGAAGAGGGTATTGGGGCGTGTGTACAAAAGTGAGGAAAGTGGGACGAAGCTGGTGAACGCCGTTTTGAGGCGGGTAGAGAAGGAGATTGAAGAGGAGGAGGATGCGGCTGGACTGCGAGGGACTCCTGACATGGCTAAGATCGGTTGGAGAGCTAAGAAGGAGAGGGTGCAAGACAGCTTCTCTCAACTGATAGTCATCGGAGGGAACCGTAGAGCCTTGATTATTGCCTGTATGCTTCAAGGCTTCCAGCAACTGTGCGGCTTTGTAAGTCCCCTCCTTCACGTCCAAGCAACAGATATCCCCACTAAGACCACTGGAACGTATCAGAGTATGGAATGACTGCTAACACCACCCCCAGAACTCCTTAATGTACTTCTCCGCCACAATATTCCGCCTCGTCGGTTTCGAATCACCAACCCTAACCTCCCTCTCCATCGCCATCACAAACTTTCTCTTCACACTCGTAGCCTTCCACTACATCGACCGCATCGGACGCCGCCGTATCCTCCTCTGGTCCGTACCCATCATGATTATCGGTCTCGCACTCTGCGCCATCGCATTCCTTTTCATCGACCTTCCCACCGAGGAAGCTTCCGCTACCGCCACTGCCATTGCCGGCGATAACAACAAGATATGGCCCCTAGTCATCCTCTTCTCCATGATAACATATGTTGCTGGTTACGCGATAGGCATGGGTAACGTTCCTTGGCAGCAATCTGAACTCTTTCCCCTGTCTGTAAGGTCGCTTGGGTCTGCGTTGTCGACGGCTACGAATTGGGGGTCGAATACTTTTATTGGGATCACTTTTCTGCCCATGATGAATATCTTCACCCCTGTGGGAACGTTTGCGTTGTACGCCGTGGTCTGTGTGGTTGCGGAGATTGTCATTTGGAGGATATATCCTGAGACGGCGGGGTTGGGGTTGGAAGACGTAGGTGGGTTATTGAAGGATGGGTTCGGGGTTAGGGATAGTGTTAGGAGGTTTGAAGAGAGGCGGCGGGATCGGTGATCGAGGGGGTACTTTGAAGGATCGTACACTAGAATTTAGTCACCGTACAGCGTTACGTGTCTGTTCATGGAGTGTGATGTCAAGGACATTGATAGTTCGAGTCATGACAGCTGGTGACGTGAAGACCGACAGCGAGTTCCTAGGCATAAATGCCACCGCCCTCCCTATACCTTCTTGTTTTCTAGACTCGCACGCTCCCATTTACCCAGACAGCCATACTATACCACACCTACAACCACGTAACAATGAGGCCTACATTCTTCCTCCTCACAACCCTCAGCGCTCTGGTAGCCGCCGCCCCAGTCCACGCCTCCAACCCCCCTCCTCCCCTCCCCACAGCCTTCTACCCTGACCCTGTCTCTGGCTCCGGCTCCGGCCAAATGGTCGACAACATGCTTCCCGACAGCGACCTCCCTGGCGGCGGCATCGGCTCCTCTTCTCCTCAGATGTCCGACAAGCGCGCCCTTGCCAACGCGGTTCCTGATAAATATGACTCGTCTACGTACTACGACGCAGCTGCTGAGAAAGAAGCAGAGGAGCTGGCTCTTGTGCTAGACGCTGCGAGTGAGAATGCGGCGGAGGACGAGAGTGCGGATACCAGCCTTAACGTGAAGAGGGGACAGGGACAGGGAATGGAAGGCAAAAGCGTGGAGGGGTGTAAGAAGAGGGCTGAGCCGGCAGGGTGTGTGAAGTGTCAGAAGGAGTGGGATATGTACGTTTGATCCGGCTCATACTACAATCTCTGCATTTATCGCGTTGGTATGAGTTTGAGCTCGATGCTAACGGTGTAATGTAGGCACGTATCGTGTTTGTGCGAGAAGAAAGTTGGTTTCGATGCGTGCGTGCAGAGCAAGATTAAGAACTATGTAAGTTGAAGGTTTCGAAGCGCGCAGAGCTGATGGAAGACACTAACATACTGGTAGGACGCCTGCGCAAAGAAGGAGTGCCCATAAGCTAGGTACAGCTCTGTGCAACTGGCGACCACTTCATGAGGAGAGTCAGCGGCCGTGAATTGGATCTGTCTCGCGGTTGTTATGCCTGTGTCAGTGGCCATTGAGAGTTCGTAGTGGAAATTTCCGTTTCAGATTTTTTGTTCTGTCTGCTATAACACATTTTCCAGGCGTATCGTCGCTTTTGCGTCGATGCGAAACTTTGATGACCTTGGTGACCCGTTCCCGCATCCATATTAGAAGTTACCTCATTCGCCGTAAACGCCAAAGTGTCATTAACTCATTACCATTCCATCCCCTCGTGCCGAAACGCCAACGCTGATGCAAATGCCGGAATCCTTGTGTCCCTCATCCTTCACACGCTAGGGTGACGGGTATCACGTCATGCCAATCGGCCATGCGTAGAGTGTGAATCTCCTAGTTGCCAACGGCCGTGTCGTTGAGCGCGACACAGACAGCACCACGGTGATGTCCGTTGTACTGCCTGATGATGCTCTGACTACCAAGCTCCCACAGCCTTGCGTAGTGGTCTGAGCAGCTGGTGACGAGGTAGGCGCTATCGGCGGAGAAGGCACAATCCCAGACCCACCTCTGATGACCATGTAGCGTAGTCTCTAGAGGGAAGGCAGCCGGGTCGCGCTCGCTAGCTGCCGGCAAGTTGTCGGTAGGCGTGACGTTGTGAGGAGCGGTGGGATCGACGGACCAGATACGCGCTGTGTGGTCGGCGGAGCACGTGGCTAGATGACGGACATCGGGGGACAGGAGGACGCGGGTGATGTAGGTTGTATGGGCCACGAACTTGCAGATGGGGAGGATCGAGGTGGTATCGCTGCGCTGGATCATGCGCCAAACGTAGACGTTGCCCTAACATGCGGTGTTAGCAAACATTGGGACAACTTCATCCGGGGAGACTCACGGCGTTGTTGCCTGCGCAGACCATGCTTCCGTCGCTTGCAACCGTAACACTAGCCACGCTGACGTCGTCCTCTGGAATGAGCTGGTGAGAGCACTTATTCTCTCCCAAGTCCCAGATCCTCACGTTACCACCGCGGTCGCAGCTGATGAGCTCTCCCTGGTTTGGATGGATGACGACATCGTTGACTGGAACACCATGAGTGTAGTTGCGCTGAACGTTGCCTGATCGCGTGTCCCAGATCTTGACCGTGCCATCTTCAGACGAGGTGACCAGCCACTTGGACTCGCAGTGGAACGCGACACCGGTGATGTTGGAGGTGTGACCGTCGAAGGTAAGGATCGCGTTCGGGTTTGTGGACTTGATATCGTAAAGCTTGACCGTGTGGTGACCGGCGGCGGCGAGGTATCGCTTGTCGGGCGAGATGCAAAGGCGGTTGACTTGGGAGTCGGGGTGCGGGATAGTCCGGGAGCATATACCGGAGAGCGCTTCCCAGAATCTAGTCGTCGGAGTCAGTACGAATGGCTGCCAATGGCGCATGGGACGCGTGCGAACCTAATGGTATGGTCGTAACCGGCTGCAATTGGATGTTAGTCGTTTGTCTGCCAAATGTGGGGTTGGCAGCTCGACGTACCTGTGCATAGAATGACCGACATCTTGATTACAGGGTCTCTCTCTAGTTACGAATTAGGGATGAACTTTTGTGTATACCGGAAATCCGTAGTAGTACAATCAATGCGACGGTGTTAGTATGCGCGACAACTGCAGAACATGACGCGCGCGAAGTTGCGATCACGATTGGAGAGCTTTGCGCGTTGAGGGGAGTTGGAGTTGGTCTTGTTCGGGAGTGCTTGGACCACTTCAGCCCTATGGCGGTCAGCCTATAGCGGCCTAGCGCTATGTAAGCTCCTCATGGTGAATGGTGAATTCAGATGTCGTGACTGTGCTTGTGTGAAGGTCACACTTGTTACGAGTGTCAGGCACGTGGTGTAGAAGCCGTACTCTAGTGCCTTCGCGGGAATCAGGGTTGAGCGCTTTATCGCACAACACAAAACACAAGCTGGATATACACAACACTACCTAGGTAGATGGTATTTCGAGTGCCTGTCTACATGAGACCCGGGTACGCAAAGACGCGTTGAATAGCTATATGATCCCAAGACCTCAGCAGCCTACAGCTTACTAGCTGTATGCATAAGCGGATAACTCTTCGGTCCACTCTCCAGCGCATCTTTCGTAATCTCTCCGACATTCTTGAACCCTCCAACATTCATCAAGATGTCCAGATCAGCTAGTAGACCGCGCATAACATGGTCAACTCCCGTCTCGCCCATGATCGAAAGGCCCCAGATCCACAGACGGCCAACGAATACGAACTTTGCGCCCAGAGCGAGCGCTTTGAAGACGTCGGATGCGGAACGGACGCCAGAGTCGAACATGATGTAGATTTTGTCGCCGACAGCTGGAGACTTTGTTAGCTATGCAGTAACAAGAGACAGGATACACTGAACGTACCATCAACAATATTCTCAAGAGCATCAAGACTTGCGACCGCGCCATCGACTTGTCTTCCAGCGTGGTTGCTGACTACGATGCCATCGAAGCCCAGATCAACAGCTTTCTTCGCATCGTCCACACTCTGAATGCCCTTCAAAGAAAACGGCTTGCCACCACTGAGCTCCTTCCATAGTTTCATCGCCCACACAGCCTTCTCCCACGTATGCGCGCGTCCATGCCATACGTTATCGATCCAGAGCGCGCCAGCTTCGTTGGGCTGTGTCTTGGGGTCAATGCCCTTTTCCTTGAGCCTCTTCTGGAAGACGGGATCAGTAAGGCCCAGATCCGCACCAAGCCCGTGGTAGAAGGCGTAATTTGAATTTGCGACATCGTCATGCCGCCATCCAAGCTGCCAAGTGTCAAGCGTCAGGATGCAGGCTGTGAAGCCGCTGCTCACGGCACGTTGGAGGAGCGATCGAGTGAGCTCATCATTGTGCGGCATGTAGAGCTGGAAGAATCTCACCCCCTTCTCGCCGCCACCGGCAGCGGTACCTGTGTCGCCTTGTCCTTTCCTCACGCCCTCATCGTTGGCATGGCCTACGTCCTCTATGCTCTGTGAGCCTGCTGTCGAGAGACAGTATGGTAGCCCCAAGGCGCCTGCGGCTCTTGCTACGGGTAGCTCGCCCTCTGGGTTGTAGATCTTGTTGATACCAACAGGCGCAAATGCAATCGGCGCAGGCACTTTGTGTCCAAAGATCTCGGTCGCAGTGTCGCGCTGGTTGGTATCTACCAGCATACGCGGAATAATTCGATGTCGGTAGAACGCTTGTCTGTTTACGGTATGGGTGTGCGATTGGCCGGCATTTGAAGACGCGTAGAACCAGCCACCTTGGCTGAGTTTCTCCTTTGCTAATTCTTCGAGTTTGCCCGGTTCTATGTACAGTACATCAGCTTTGCGCGATGGTGACAGAACGTGAAGCATACTTACCTGTGTTGAACACTGGTACTTCGCCCTCATTGGATTTCCAAAAGTTCTTCCGCTGAAACAAGGCGTATTGCTGCGTGGTTCGGGCCTTTTGGTTGGGATTTACAGGGTCCATGATGCAAGTGGCCAGTCAGGTACAACGTCGGAGCAATTGAGGAAGGAGCTCGATAATGGATCTTGAAGGTAATTGAAGGTAATGATTGTTTCACTTTGTCTTTTGAATCGAGAATATCAAAAATAGACGTTGATATTGCTTTTAGCAATGTACCACCGGCACTCTCGGATCCACGCCATAATTGTGACGCTTGCACAGCTGTCGCAAATTATGACGAAAGGTGATGCTGCTCGGACTGGACCCTGACCTCAAGCTTATCTCCGGACTCGCGGACGGCAATGCGAACGGCAATTCCATGTAGCATGGCTGGAACACAGACCTCGCTATCGATTGACACACTCGGCTGTGAGTCACCTTCTAAGATCGGAGTCTATACGTGTCCGTTGACGATGACTGTCAAGATGACACCTGGATTAGGTGCGCGTCGAAAATCGACCTAAGAGCGGGAGAGTGGGGCATCTGAAAGCTTGTTTGCCAGCAATAAGTAGACGCATAAAGACAAGGAACTGGGCGCTATCTGATGCAACACGCATTCTACTATGCCTTAGAACGCGGCTGATAGAAGTGATGTCATGAGGGCACTGCATACGCTTCCAGTTTAGACACGGATGAAGGTCGCGATAAACACCATCTTGGTAAAACCATTGTATCATGAACAAAGTGATAGCTAGGTAAAGTGGAAGGCGAAGGCCGAGCCCGCCAGGTATCATTTCGTAAATCTGCCCGCTTGCGATCTATGAGGCTCGTTTCCATGACCCGTCGTTTGATTCTACAGGAAACCAACGTACCCATCGTCGCTTGCAAAACATCCATAAGAGAGACATTGCATATCATCATGCATCGAAACTGAGCCCTTCGAGCCAAACATCATTAATCGTGGCCAAGTCAAGTGAGGACAAGCTATTTCTCGCTCGTCTTGGTTGTGCCTGCCTCAGGCTTCTTATCGGTCTGGGACTCGGGAGCGTCGGACTTCTCCGTCTGTACAGATGAGGGCGACTCAGTCACTTGGACTTTGCTCTCGTGCTGAGGGCCTGGCGTGCCTTCGCGATCCTCGCGAGACTTGGCGTTGGCGTCCTGGTTGTACTTGTTGACTTGCGAATCCAGATCCTTGTCTTCGTCCTCGTTGTCGAACATCTCGCCGTCATTGTCTCCAGTCGAGACTTCGGTACCGTCGCCGAGAAGGATGATGCGACCGCCGTTGCCGTTGTTCGGCCGGAATCGACTGTCCAAGTCCATGTCGATGTCATCAGGGGAATCGTCAATGCGATGGTGAACGCCGGGACCGCGGAACTCGGCTACACAATTATATTAGAACTGAACTACTCGCTCTCTGAGGCGGACTTGGCTGGATCTTCTGACTTGCCGTACTCTGGCGGCGCACATGGACCCTCTCCATTCGCAACCCGCTTTGCGATGTCCTCGTACCACTGCTCCTTCGTCCTTCCTTGTAGAAGACCAATAACAGTCATGGTCATGTTGTCACAGCCAACACCTCCCGTGTCGCTGTTTGAAGCCAGACAGTTGTCCATCATGTTCTCGCAAATGGAAGCAAGATCCTGCTTTGCGACAATTCCGCGCCTAACGAACTCGACGACGGCTTGAGAAGACTGGCAATCCCAGATACCTGTATGGAGTCAATAAGAGCGCACGAGCATAGCAGGTTGTACTATCTTACCATCGCAGGCGACGATCAAGAACTCGTCATCTTGGTTGATATCATGTATCTCAACATCCGGGAAGGCAGTAACTATCTGCTGCTCGGGAGGAAGATCGGCGCTCTTCTTGAACTCGAAGTCACCTATCGCGCGCGATAGAGCCAGGTTACCGTTGACACGGCCAAAGTCGACGAAACCACCTGCGGCTTGGATACGTGCCTTCTCAGCTAATAGATGTTAGTGCTGCTTGCCTTGGTCATCTGTGTTTCTTACCCTCATTCTGGGGCTTGTGGTCGAAAGAGAGCGGCTTAGCCCTTCCCTTGACGCCTAGGACAGTACGCGAGTCACCTGCGTTGGCCTGTTGATGTGAGAATTGGCCAAGGAATGTTGTATGGGTCAACGTACGACGTAGATCTTGTCTTTGGAAAGGACGGCGACTGACGCAGTGCAGCCAGATACCTCCTCTTCGTACTTGGGATCTATTCGCGTGAGTCAGCCACTTGTCGACTACAGAAATGTGCCCTGAAAAACATACCACTCAAGATGGCGCGGTCTGTGGCGAGGAAACCATCTTGTAGAGCCTTCTTGATGTCGCCCTCTTTGAAAGCCTCCTGCTTCGCGACAATCTGGTGCAGCTGCTCGCCAGCGTACAAGGCCACCTTGTCACCACCGTGTCCGTCGTATACGCCGAAGAAGGCGAGTCGCTTGTCGTTGCCAGTGGGTTTGCCTGCTTCACCTGCAAAGTCTAGTACGGTGGCATGCGCGTCCTCCATGCTGATCCGCCAGCCCTGCATCGACGACACGCCGTAGATGAGTGACTCGCCATCGCCGTTTTCGGATTTCTGTGCAAGCAGCGTATTAGCGTCGTGTTAATGTGAAGGATAACCTGCGCGGCCGTGCAGCTCAATGCAGGCGACTGCTGCCGAATAGAGCGAGGAGTAGCGCAGGTGCGGGGGCGGGGGGCCAGCATTGGGAGGCAATTACCTTGTCAACGACGGGTTCTGAGAGTGTCTGACCCATGTTGTCCGGTGCCTACAAGGACCTGTGCGAGGAGACGAGGGGAAGTCTGAGGTTGATCGCGGGTCTCCCTAGGGGCATAGAATTCCAAACTGCGCTGCTGGTGTGTGGGGGGATTTCAGATGTGGCTAGGCGCAGGGGCGACTGGGTAAGTGGCCGGGCGTGTGTGGTGGGCGTCGTGTAGGTCCTTAGGAAGAGGACAGGAGAAAAGAATTGCGTGCTCTAGCTCGCGGGGGTAAACAGGCCGGATGGTGTTGTAGGCAAAGAGTGACGCTGCTCTACCTGTCAGGCCGGGCCCGTGCGGGCTAGTGGGTGTGGCTAGGTCGAGGCCAGAAACGATGACGCCGCCGCATTTTCTGCAGTCCCGTTTCCCCCACCAGCTCCTGTCGCTGTGGATTGCGCCCTCCTGACTGAGTACGCGCTCAGCTTGCCAATGGCTGCCTAGTCGTGCATCTTTCCGGGCGGTGCTCTGCTAAGGCGAGGCAGCCGGCGCCTAGATGCTTGCTTACTTGTGCAAGAGCTCGCGTGCCACGCACAAAGCCCTGAGCACCCCTATCAGCGCCTCAACAGCAGCCGCCGCCTGGCCTCGATGCACTGGAGCTGATCGTCCTTTCTGGCTGGGGCATAGCTCCATCACTCGATACACGAAGCCCTCTTCCTCAAGTTGTACCTGTCCCGCATCAAGCACCCTGAATGTCGGCCGTCTATTCTACACAGCTATGCTGAATTCCCAAAGATCGTGCATACATTCAGGGTTTAGACGTAGTAGTACGGTTCGGAAAGAACTTGTTTGCTGCACATGAAATTGGTCCCGTGAACGCGATAGAAAGGGCAACACTTGCTCAGCCGCGTTGCGGCGCGACAATTCCCAGGGTCCAGATTCCGTGTCGGGCTCTGAGGATGCACTACGACGGATTAGTACTACCCGACCGATTGGCACGCAACATGTTGCTTCCTCCTACACAACACTCCCGAAACTCGCGATATACGTTCCACCGTAGCGCGAGGCAGGAGCTGTGAGCCGCCAAAAAGCGGCCCATTTTGGCGCGGCACCATGTCGTGGCTGCGTATGAGCAGCTGCGTGGGTAACTGGGATCACAAGATACCTGTGCAACGTGGTCCTGAAACTCCCCATATATCATCCATGGAAAAGCTATAACGAGGACTCTTGGCCTGGGCTGCCGAGGTTCTTTTGATACAGTGCGGCAACACCAAACATCTGAAATACTCTCATGGCACTGACTCAGTGTTGCTTCTGCGAGATGAGCGTACCGCCGGAGGACCCCGGTACCCCGGAAACCCCAAATGTTCTTTAAATATGCACTAAAAGCCCCACGATGAGGGCGACAGCGCAAATGACAGAACTCCGTATCGCCAACTTCCTTCGCCATCTGCTCGGGGCATTGGCTTCGGCACTTTCATGAGATTATCTATCAGAAGCGCACGTATAAGCCGTCGCACGGTCCGATCGTGGTATCATTGTCGAATATGGCTTAGCCCAAATTTGAACCTCGGCTGTCCGAGGTAGCGCAAGATCGCCATCCTACTTAATCATCATTCCAAACACACTCTCTTCCCATCATCTCCATCATCGATCTATTATCACAATGAAGCCAACACCGGACTGGGTCAAGCAGCTGAAGCCTTCGGGCATTCAAGGCCACGAATTGCTCAAGGCTGAACGCGAAAACTCCAATGTACCCGTCCAGGAGCTAGAAGTCCTCCTACATACGCAAGATGTCATCGACAGGAGGAACAAGATCCTTGACATTCTCAAGTCAGAGAAGGTCTTCGACAAGTCGCAGAACTACTTCATGGGAAGGATCGACAGATTCGAGAGGGCGCTTGCAAGGGAGAAGAGACTCAGAATCTTGAAGAAGCAACACAACTGGTCTTTTGACGAGTTCCGGACTGCTACAGAACTTGTTGGCGAACCCGGACCATACGGACTCCACGACTCTATGTTCAAGGTACGCGCCATATTCTGTCTCCGCGCGACTTCTACTCACTATGCAGGTTACACTTGAAGGTCAGGGTACGCCGGAGCAGCAGGAAAAGTGGCTTACCAAGGCCAACAACTACGAGATCATCGGATGTTATGCTCAGACTGAGCTTGGCCATGGTTCTAACGTTCGAGGACTTGAAACAACCGCCACCTGGAACAAGGAGGACAAGACCTTCACCATCCACTCCCCACATCTGACCGCCAGCAAATGGTGGATTGGATCCCTAGGTCGCACAGCTAACCACGCGGTAGTCATGGCTCAGCTCATCATTGATGGCAAATCATATGGGCCGACTCCATTCTGCGTCCAGATCCGTGACCTG